GTCTTTGCCTTCAGCTCCTCTTTAAACCAAGACATCTGGCCATGCAGGGGCTCCTTCTCTTGTTCCATATGCTTCTCCTTGTACTAAACAGATGAAACAACTATGACCAATAGCTCATTTATAAGTTAATATTTATAAAAAACAAAAAACATCTCAGAACTCACCTTAATATTCACTTCTGAAGCTTCAGGTTCCTCCACCTTGTTGGGTTTAAATCCAGAGAAATGTGAGTTTAAGAGGACGAAATGATCAAACACAGACAGGGATTTTGCAACGTCAGCCTCTGCAAAGGGGAGAAGAACTGCTGGCTCACAACCAGCACCTTTTCTCACTGATCCCTTCACAGCAAAGCCTTTTATTAACAGTTTACAACATAATAGGGTGGGTCTTAAACAGAAAACCCTGTAATGATTATCTGGCAGAATGCAGGTCACAAGACAGTGTTAAATGTCATAAGACACAGCAGTGTGACTTCCTCATGACCTACTGGATGCAGGTCATAAAAGTTTATGACCCTCCTGATTAAATCACTGGACAGAAATGTAGCATATTATTTCTTCAATGTTTCATATGCCCACACAATAGTTTTATAATTATAACTCTAACCCACCTTCATCTGCAGAGCCATCTTGGAGGTGTTCACTTCCACTAATTTATCATTCAGCTGCTTCAAGTCATCTAAAAGGGCAAAACAAAAAAACTGGGTATAGTCATGTTCTTTTTTAATAGATAAATAATTAAACAGTGTATAAATCATTCGTTTAAGTCCCTACCATTTAGATATTCTACTTCCAGAGATCTCTTTTCCGGGGTTCTCACGAGTTCCCGCTTTTCTGCCTCCAATTCTTCTTTGACTTTCGAAAGCAAGGTCTAAAGAGAAACAATGAAGGGCTTTACTGCAATATATGGTGGGAGAGGTCAGGGACGATTTGTTAATTAAATTTGAAAGTGTGTTTGAGAGAAAAACAACAGCTGTTTGAAACTTGCATGATACTGTAATAAAATGCAGAAGTTATCCTTTTCATTTCCCTTTTCTCATTGAAAAACCATACAAACGGCATTTAGATGATATTCTGCATAGAAATAAGTGAAATAACTCTAAATTTGATTTTAG